TAATCAACCCCATCAACTATATAGATATCTCCATCAAAAACCATAGTTAACATTAGGATACATTAGGTTACAAATCCATCTTACCCTGGTAATTTGTCACATAGCGAACTGGAAAATGGTCCATAGAAATTTAGTTGATTTACCCATTCAAAATGGTGATTTTCCATAATTAGCTATGTAACAAATTACCAGAGGGTAAATCCATGTAAACCCTCGAATTCTGACGCAAGGCATCGCAAAAGCCACATATGTCCACATATGACTTTCACCATCCAGTTTGTAAAGGCAGTGTCCTCGTGATCCACATTTAAACTCTCCTTTTTGATGTAAATCCAACGACCGTTTCGCCAGCAAAATCTATGAGCCTCGATTCTACATCCATTGAAGGTGTGGGAAAGGCTCACAGCACACCTTGATCCTGTTGCACTAATATTAAGCACCCAGAAACGATGGTTTTAGTAGGGAACGTAAACATATTTGGGACCATTTGGGTGGTGTTTAATATTAGCGGGATAGGATTGATTGTGGTTAATCATAATAATGCATTAGAATATTACAAGCAGGGCCCATTCTTAAAACACATTTTGCTGAAGGCTGCGTGTAGCCGCCTGCCACTGGTCCAAAAATTTACCGAATGGCGCGTTCATTTTGGGTGGATCTACTTCACCTATCATCTGCAGTACTCCCATCTTACATTAAATACGCCTCCCCAGGGGTGCAGTTCAAATTACCCCCATAGCAACCCGTGACCTCACCCAAGATTCCCTCTGCCAATATCTGATGCTTCATCTTTAAACTTTAAAATATCAAAAGCAACGCGGCAACGCGTTACCCATACTGGCCACATCTGAATTCTTCAAAATCTGCCAGCAACTTGGAGGACCATCCCGCTCAGTAACTGGTTAATAACATTTAATAACCATCTCATATTTATAATCCAGTTGCATATGGGATAAACCCACTTAGGGGACTTTCGGCCCAGGCTTATTTAAAAAAAACGCTTACTTACAGTGCTATGATCCACGATCCTCCCCGCCAGGGCACAGATAGTGTGGACAATGTTGGCCACATGTCCGCACATCATCAGGATCAACTTCTCATCCACTTCTGTGAAACTGCAACAGCCAGGTGTTCCGCCCTGCGTTCCGCCCTTCTTAGGCCTGCGTTCGCCAAAAGGCGGCCATGGATCGAACGTTGGGAGCTGTAAAAAACTCGGGTGAACATCAGCTGATAATACCAACGATATATAGCTGGTGATATTCCATATATATATACACACACATGGGTCCTGCTTACAAAGTGCAATAATTCACCAACCCTGAAATCAGGCTGCACATATTTTGGGATAGTTACTCTTGCCAGCCATCATTCCAGTGAAGTCGCATTGAGATCGCCGTAAATTATCCAAATAATAAAAAGGTCAAAGTTGAGGTGGTTGTGGATGTTAATCGCCCGATACATCTCCCATTCAAAATCATTGGTATCATCCGCTTTGACCCTCAAAGTACAAACGAACCAAAATTGCAAAGATATTGGACATCAAATTCGCGGATGCGAAGAATGATGAATGAGAGGATGTTCGGCGTGGGGTATGTCTAAAACTGGGCACCCCAAACGCCCCATTGTCAATTTGTTTCATCAAATGTCATGTTATCCCAGTTAAATAGCTACATTTTTTTTAAAAAAGGGGGAGTAATTCCCCCACGTTTTCGACCTCCATGAAACACGGAGTTCAACTCAACACCACCCTTTTCACGCTGTTGGATCCCGTGGACCCCGGTGAAGCCCAGGTGCTTCTTGTTGATGACTTCGAACATCCCTAGGACTTCACCCGTTCTTCGGCTCAAAATCGGGCACACCAAGACGCTGCAAGCGCGAGTGCCACTACCTGGTGACACGTGGCCATTTTCTGAACGGCAGGGGCTTCACCAGGAGTCCCCTCCTCCCAATTTGGGTATCCGTTGGTCCGATCAAATCTTCACTATGATATACTATGATGGGATTACCCTCTGGTAATTTAACATAGCTATTGAAAATGGTGATTTATAGTGGATTTTCCCATTAAAAATGGTGATTTTCCATAGTTATGCTAGTTTACCAGAGGGTAAATCAATTTGTATCAATATACAAAATATTTACCCTAATAGTGATTAACTGATACTTATACAATTGTACAAATTTGTACTGTATCACTTCAAATCTACCCACGATTGTCCAATTCGTATCAATTTGTAAATTCGTTGTGCACTGACATGGAATATCACCAGATTTGAAAAAGGAACGCCGTCGGCTGTGCCATTTTGCTGCTGTTATTTGATGGTAGGGGAATGGACAAACTAGAATAATGACATTCTCATCAAGTTTTTAGCCCCTCCCACCCAATGTAAATACTGGGACACCATTCATTCACCATTGCAAAATATTGCAACCATATATATAGGGGTCCACAAAAAGATTGAACAGTTTTTTAAGGATGTTGTAGATGATAGATACCTCATAATTCATCATAATTCCAGGTGTCCAACTCTTCCAACTATTCAGTCCAGGACTGGGCAGTTCTACCATAAAAATCCGTAAGTACTAATCCTCAGATGTTCTTGGAAATTTCATGGAAATCTAGCCACAGCATGGAATTCCTCTGAATTTCTATGACATTGAAACGATGAATTCACGATTCACTCATTCACTATACTGCGGTTGGGAAACTCTATTCGTAGCTCCTGTGCTGCCATTTCAATGGGAAATACATGGATCATCATGGATCCCAATAATATTTCATACGGAAATATGGGGAAAAGATTGGATAGAAACCACATCAGATAGTTTTCACCTGTTTTCACCCTAGAATTTCACGATTCTCCCCATGTTTTCACCATAGAATTTCCCACCCACCACCAGTTCCTCCCGCTTAAAAACCCATCCGCGCCAGGTGGCCGGAGTCCCGGTGGGTCCCAGCGAAGCGGGGATCCGAAAAGACCTTTGGGACGTTCAGCAACAGCTTGGTCTCCGCCACGTGGCGCTTCCTCCAAAAAATGACCATGGAAACCACGGGGCTTGACCATGGAAAAAATTCATTGCATATGTATATATATATATATACTAATTGATTATTTGTGTGTGATGATTATTTTTGGTCTAGTTATGTATTTACTTGATATTTCAAAGAAAGCTTCTGTATAAATAAGTTTATCTCATAATATATCTATATGTGTGTGTAAAGACTTGTAAAGATATTGCAAGGATATATTGTAATAGAGAGGGGGAGTACTACCTACCTATCTATCCATCTGTCTGTCTGCCTGTTTCTGTTTCTGCTTCTGTTTCTGTCTATCTACCTATCTATCTGAATAACTATATACATAATTACGGTGTTCCACAGATACTACAGTACTAACTATAGAGGTGTTCGGCAAATTTCTCCTCAGCCTAATTCTCGGAATTATGTCAAGTACAAGCAAGGCTCGGAAACAAAGCTCTTGAGACACTTTGGGAGCACCGAACTATGTGGTCCTATGTGGTTCTATGCTCTGCCAGCAGCAGAACATGTCAAACTTCCGGTCTGTTCACGATTGTTCACGTCCTACGCATCTGGCCCTCACATTTTCCGTTCTTGCTGTCGTGACACTGCAAGGGTTGTCACAAACACGAACCCACTGACACACCGGCATCCTCCAAAAGCACTGAAATCAAGTTATAATGTAGTCAATTATATATATATTAGATCGCCGTCCAATGATAATTATGCATAATTATTGCCAAACAATACGAGAAGGTCCGTTTGGGAAATATAGGCAGGCCTCTGGTGTCACCATTATCATCACCAATGGGCCGTGAAGGGTGCTTTAACCCCTCATCTAATCAGTCACGATGGGAACGTCGATGAAGTCCCAAAAATATCGGAATACCTCCAGCCACTGAAAAACACCTGGATATGGGTCAAAACCACCCCTGGTGAACACCAAATTGGCTGGTGAATGGATGTTCACCCCCTATAAATGATATAGGTATTGATGCTTCCGCCAATCTGCTTCAAAAGTCTCTTTTCAGCCCAGGACACGCGGGGCAACCCTGAATTTACCCGTTCACATGACCGACTGTCTATATACATGCGCAATATATATATATAATATATTATATACACACACACCCTCTGGTAATTTAACATAGCTATGGAAAATCACAATGTTTAATTGGTAAATCAACTATTTCTATGGCCATTTTCAATAGCCATGTTTGTTTACCGGAGGGTGTATATATATATACATATATATATACATATATATATATATGTGCAGGAATGATATGTACAACTATAGTTATATAGTCTTGCCTGCAAGTATACTTAAAACGTCTTATAACAAAATTCTTCATCACATAAGTGGATGGTCGGGAAATCCGGCACCATTTGATAGGTGATTTATCATGATGTATCCCATTATTTATAGAGTTTCAACCATCCAAGGTGAAGCAGGATGTCTTACACCCACAGTAGTTCATAATATTTCTCTAACCTGACTATTTCGGTCATTTCGGGATAGTTACCCCAATCCAATTCCCAATCCAATTCTTCATTGAATTCTTTCATCATTAGGTGGTAAACATCCCATTATTCATAGGCTTTCAACTATCCAAATCACCACCTATGATGAAGATTGGACCATTTAAATCCAATAAAACCGTCCCAATTCTCTTTTTTTGGTCGACCAAATTAAAATCCCAGCGTCGTGCCACCCTCTCGAAGCTTGATCTTGGTGGGTTTCTCCAGCTGCCTGCAGCGACCAGGGCTTGGCTAGGCTCTCGCCCAGTGCCCCCCGTTGTAGCTATGGAAAATTGTCCATAGAAATCGTTGATTTTCCCAGCTAAAAATGGTGGTGTTCCATAGTTATGTAAACGTTTACCAGAGGGTAATCATTTATAGATATCGACAACTACAGTTCTTTGACATGTTGTAACAACCAGTCAGCCCTAGATAATCTAGTGATCTAGTCATATATCATATGCCAGTTTAGATAACGGGGCACCAGCAAAAGCATGTGGCGGGTTTCCTTGGCCTGCAACTGATGCAGCAAAGCCAAACACCAAAATCCATTTACCAATTTCACCATTTTGGGTTGGTATTGAAAACCTTGCAAAACAAATTGCTTGGTCATGAGTCATTTGCCACACATTTTAACCCCATTAAATCTGCACTTGGGGCGCGAAAAATCTGGAGTAACGGTCCGAATTTTCGTGGCCAATCGTGGTGATATCATGAGATTTGCCCAAGGAAGGAGCAAAAAACAAAGCAAAGAAGGTCCAACCAACAGAAAAAAACCGTTTGGAATTGTCAAATTGGTCAAACTGCAGAAGGATTCATGACAATCCTCCCGCGAACCCATGCAAGCCCGAAAAAAACATCTAACAAACACATATAAACCACAAGGGCTATTGAAAAGCCAGATCGAACCCATGTCATAGTTGATAGTTGATAGTTGATAGTTGAAAATATGATGAGTCAAAGCTATGTAAACCATTGGTTTACCCATGTTTTAAAGCCATTGAAACTGTTGAGTTCGCGTCAAACAACGTGACCTCGGCACCGACAAACACCAAGCTGCTGCTCGAGGTAAACCTTGAAGTCCTCGGAGCTTGACTCTTGGGACTTTCGCACCTCGAAGCGAGCGGAAATTCCGGGCCTGGGGGGCCTTGGTGATGTTCTATAATGGCTACTGGTTTATAACAATATATGAATATATGGTAAATATATGGCAAATATATGGTAAATATATGGTAAATATCAACTTCACCAACTTAAGACTTCTGGTTGGTGGTTTCAACCTACCCCTGTGAAAAATATGAGTTCGTCAGTTGGGGTTACTATTCCCAACTGAATGGAAAAATAATCCAAATGTTCCAAACCACCAACCAGCTGGTGATCTTCTAAGGCGGGCTGTTTCAGCCATGGTGATCCCAACTGTGGGTAAAACCCTGGTAAAACAATGCCATGTTTGCCAGCCATGACTGGAAATGGTTTATACCAACTATTTATGGTGCCCCAGTTTCTTAGCTCAGTGCAAATAACTAGCTTAAAGATGATTTAAATCTATGAGCTATATGGTAGGTATATCATGGTATATCTATAGCTAATGGGTTTTTAACCAACTTAAAAATTTCACAGATGATCTCCACTGTAATGATCTAATGTTGGATACAAACTAGTGTCCTGGGACTCTATTGTGATTTTCATGATAGATTAATGATGATAGATGGATCAGTATCCAACATTGATGATAGATTGATCAGTTATGATTAAGAACGATTTACCCAGTGGGTGGTTCATATAGGTGATCCCAACTCATGATTCATGATGGAATGATCCATGGGTTCACAATATAGGCCTGTTTGTCATGATGTAAAACCACACCCAAATTACCACCTTAAAAGAGGTGGTTGTTTTCAACACTGCGTCTTGGGATCAGCCCCGTAATTCTGCTAGTCTGCTATTAGCAGGATGCAGTTGGATCTGACTATGCTGAATTTTTGAAACTTTGGATATCACTTGATATGACTCTGGCATATTCTGGCCATATACCCACCCATTTTTTCCCTGAAACTGCGGCCCCAAGTGGGGAACTGGTGGTTTGACCCTCCAAAAATCGATGTTTTACCAATTTCCCAGTTATTAACAACCAGTTATTCATGACTGCTGTTCTACCCGTTTCTGAAAAAATAGACCCATGGGTTGATCATGACCCTTCCCCGATCCCACGAGACAGGACAGGAAAGATTTCCTATATGGCAGTGTGTCAAAACCTTGTACCCCTGGTGAACATCAAAATAGCTGGTAAATGGATGTTCATCCCCTAAAATGGTATTAATAGGTATTGATCCATACCCATATGGAAGTGACAGCTAGTATGTTTATTAATTGCCCTCTGGTAAATTAACATAACTAAAGATCCAAAGATCCACCATTTTTAATGGGTAAATCAACGATTTCAATGGCCATTTTCAATAGCTACGTAACAAATTACCAGAGGGTAGGCCAACCCAAGGTTACACACGAAAAGGCGAAGCCGACAGAAACTCACTTGGAAGTTCAGTCCGAATGAAACCCGCCATGTTTTGGCTCAAACGACCCACTCAAAAGAAAATGAGATCATGATATACTGTAACCAACCAAGAATGGGGAGACAACGAAAATATGGAGATGAGATCATCAAAACTGTACTTATGTCCCTGAACACTGATATCACTGACATAGAACCTGCGGATCTCGGGGGTCCATGTGACAATTTTTTTTGGGTGCAACTCAGGTGAGCCACGGCTACTACCCATCCACTAGGTCGATGCTCCAGCAAATACACCTCCAAATTCAAAAAGAAAACTCCGGTTCCTGCTTTCAAGAAAATATCTCAACTTTATTAGGACCTACTTCAAAACCAATCAACCTCGCGGGGAAAAACATTAGATCATCATCCCAGTGCGCTGGAAGGCCGTGACATCCAAAACTTGGGCCTGCCCTTGAGCCGCAGGGCCAAATGGGCGATTTCCGAAGCCTTGAAGTTCAGGTCTGCCAAGGCGCTGGTAATCGCACCATCACCTCGGCGAAAAAGGTCCAGCTGCGAAAAATGTCCAGCCATGGAGGTGGGGAAAATCCATCGAACTAATTAAACTGGTGGATCTTCCCACGCCATGGAGCGGATTACCAGGGGGATTCGATGGATCTTTTTGGTTTGCATAGTGAGTTAGTACTTGGTGCCCTGAGGATGTGGGCACTGTCGAAGAATTGGGCACTGTCCTTCCGCGAGAGCAGTTGGTCGGCAAGCAAGTGCTTTGAAGGAAAATCCTGTGATGTGGTAAACCCAATGCCATAAACCATACCATTCCCAAAACCATTTTCATGGGTTGGATTTCAACCACCCACATGGTAGCTTTAGCATTGGGTTTCCCACATTCTGTACATATGTGTATGTATGTGTATATTATATACAGAGGTTCTGCAGCCCATCGGGGCAAACATCAAGAAACCAGGTTCAGGTGTGGCAGAAACAGGGCCAAGTCTGAGGGAAAGAGTTTCACCGTTTAGCTGCGAGTTCCTCCAAAACGTTCATCTTGCTGCCCGGAAAAGAAATGAAACAAAAAATGCAAATGAAAAAGCGAAAATGCATTGTTCTTTCCACAAGATCTGCCAGAGCCCGGAGAAACATACCAAGATATACCAAGAAAAAGAAAAAAAACAGCCATGCCCGCTGGTGGATGGTTGCATTCTTTCTAGTGTCTTCCCCATGGTTTGGCTCCATTGCAATCCCAACTCTTGCTCAGTTAAAGTTATGCAATCATCTGGGTGGATTATACCTGAATTAAGGCCATTTGGGATGATATAATTTACACAGAATCATATATAATTCATTATAATTCCCCATTTCTGTTGGTCTTATCACATTTGTTCTTGTTAAAACTCCATTCTCCTTGGTTTGTCTTCGATTGACCTACCCTTCACCAGTTGAACAGTGGTCAAAAATGGGATGCTCAGCTCATGGATGACGATAAACCCCCAATACATACAGGAACCCCCAAACAAAAATCATCAACCTATAGGGGTGTCTGGCAGCCACTGCTCAGTTGGTTTACGTCCCTTTTCCCCTCTCACATTTTCTTGATCTAAGCATCTTTAATCATTGATCCCGATTGCTCCCCTACTTTTTCGGATGAGTTTCCCATAGTTTTCTCATGTTTTGTCTGAAACCCCATGTTTTTTGATTTGTTTTGTGGGGTTTCTGTCCATTTCTCCACCATTTCTCCATCTTTCACCCGTGGCCAACTCCCGGCTGACCAAGTCGCTGTAGTTCTGCTCCCGTGTGAAGGTCTTGAACTCCATGAGCTGCGCGGAACTCAACTGCCAGCGCTTGGCGAAGGTCCAGAGATAGCTGGGATCTGAGTCCAAGAAGTACCTTGGGTCAAAGGGAATTTCAGGATCCATAGGGACAGTAATACTATATAGTATATAGTAACGATGCTTAATGAGGGTGAATGGTGATTCATGGATGGTTGATGGATGACTAATGATGATTCATTCTTTGTTGGGTCAATGGGAATTTCAGGATCCTAAAATGGAGGTACGTTAGTCCCATATTTTTAAGGCCATATGAATTGTGGGGATATTCCCTTACATAGGCTTTATATATGGTAGGTACCTCCGGTTTAGGTTCCTGAAATGGCCATTGGGGACTGGGATGGGATGATGGATAGGATATAGCTATGAGGGCAATATAATAAGTCCCCAACCATGGACTGGAAATATAAATCAACCAACTAACAGGAAAAGAACATCTAGGGATGGATAGGATATAATGTCGGAAAACAATGCCATGTTTACCACCCATGACTGGGAATGGTTTATACCACCTATTTATGGTATGTATGGTGAAATTGGGGATGGTTTATTATTGTTATACCAACATCAGTAAGGATTAATAAGGATTTCCGGAATATTATTGCTATCAATCAACTAACGTTATGAACTGCTTACTTAGTGCGATGATCCTCCAAGTGATTGTCGGGATGGTTGGGTTGGATATGTCGGAATGGGTACGTTATAAAATGTTCTCAGAATTCACGAACTTTTGAAATAAGCCTATTTTGTAATGGTTACCTCTACAAACCCTCATTCCAGCGAGGTCCCACTGTGGCTGGTTGATCGATACATCCCGGGGTAAAAATACGAAAAAATAAATGTCGAAAACGGTTCGGAAAATGATCTACAAATGGTGAGTTTTCCACACCTATGTTAGTTTACTGAAGTGTGTAATTTATAAATGATAAACTTGGCTTTGCTTCAGGAACTAAAAAGAACAATTGTAGTAATAATAGTAACAACAGTAATAATAGTCATAGTAATATTGATAATAATAATAATAATATTTAATAATAGTAGTACCCTCTGGTAAACTAACATAACTATTGAAAATTGCCATTTATAGTGGATTTATCCATTAAAAATGGTGATGTTCCATAGTTACGTTAGTTTACCAGAGGGTAATAATCATGTCCGCTATAGATTCCCCAAGTAGTGAATTTCCCGGGAAGATCAGCGAAATCATGGAGCAAATCCAAGACGGGGCGGTAGTAGTGAAGGTTTAACCCTAAGGTTAGTAAGTCCACGATATAAGTGGGGAAAACCTCATCCGTAAATGGATATTCTTTTGGGGTTCTATGGTTTTTCTATGGTCATATCCTATGGTTATTATGGATATTCTATGGTTATTCTATTATCATTATATCCTATGGTTATTAGTGATTATTATATTCTATGGTTACTATGCGTATTATGACTAAACTTCTATAAATATCTATTGTTGTATGTTTATATCCTATTATCCTATGGTTATTCTATGGCTAGATACTATTAAATGGATATATCTATAAAGATCTATAAATATTTGTTCGTGAATGGATAGCCACTTTACGGTTCGTGGGATGATCGTCGCCCAGACACAGAGTACACCTCTCCGCTTCAAACTGTGCAGGGCCGTCGATGGCGAAGGTCTTGCAAATGGTTTGCAGTTCCTTACGCCGACTTACGCCACCCGCAAAATGCGAAAAAAAACATGAAATCAGAGGAAATGTTCATGTATATATATATATACTGTATATATATGTATGTATATCCATCTGTCTGTCTATCTATCGATCTATCTATCTATCTACCTATCTACCTATCTACCTATCTACCTATCTATCTATCTACCTATCTACCTATCTACCTATCTACCTATCTACCTACCTACCTATCTATCTATCTACCTATCTACCTATCTACCTATCTACCTATCTACCTATCTATCTATCTATCTACCTATCTACCTATCTACCTATCTACCTATCTACCTATCTATCTATCTATCTACCTATCTACCTATCTACCTATCTACCTATCTGCCTACCTACCTATCTATCTATCTACCTATCTACCTATCTACCTATCTACCTATCTACCTGTTTACCTATCTACCTGTCTACCTATCTATCTATCTATCGATCTTTCTACCTATCTACCTATCTACCTATCTACCTATCTCCTTATCTACCTATCTACCTATCTATCTATCTACCTATCAATCTATCTATCTTTCTTTCTTTCTTTCTATCTTATCTATCTCATCTATCTTATCTATCTTGTCTATCTTATCTATCTTATCTATCTTATCTATCTCATCTATCTTATCTATCTTATCTATCTTGTCTATCTTATCTATCTTTTCTATCTTATCCATCTTATCCATCTTATCCATCTTATCTATCTTATCTATCTTATCTATCTTATCTATCAAATCTATCTTATCTACCTTATCTATCTTATCTATCATCTATCTTATCCATCTTTCTTTCTATCTATCTATTTATCCATCCTTCCATCTATCTATCTATCTATCTACCTATATCTCTCTCTTTCTCTCTCTCCCTCCCTCTCTCTCTCTCTCTCTGTGCATCGCCATCCCGTAGGTTCAGCTATATACATACCTTTATAATATATTTAGACAATACACCTATATATTGTCTATAATAATTGTTATATACATGCGTATATACATATATAAATTTATATTTATTTTAGATATATCTATTATATTCATCTTTGGTTTCACGAAAAATGTGGGCTTAGTAATTCCTGCCCCCACTAGCTGTACCACGGGCTACGTTTCGATTTCAAGACTCCAGGCCCAGAGGCGTGCCCTTTCTGGGAAAATGCAACAGGCATCGTTTGGCTTGCAGTTCACCTTCGTTCGCCTATATTAGGTCAAATACCTATATATATATATATATTTAAATTATGTATACATATAGATATACATATAGATATAGTTTTAGAGTTGCTTCAAAAGAATGGGCAACTTTCCTCTTTATAAATCAGCGTAACCAGCCAGTAACGTTGCCATCCGCTCCCAGCGTTACCGAGACGCCGCTTGCTTCTTCTGCCGTTCCACCTTATTTAGGTCCAGCAGGAAGATATTTCCCATGCCAATCCTTGGAGTCGGGATCTTTCAATGGGAATTAATATGGGAAATTAAAAACTATCTATCAAGTATAATAGAGAATTGTAGGGAATTTTAGGAACTTACAGTTATATGATTTTATGTGTGTATTTGATATTATCTATTATAGGGAATTAGCGGGAATTAAAGATATTTGATGGCTATATATAATATGTATAGTTCGTCTAGTTGGATTTGCCAATCTGGAACCAAAAAAAAAACACAATTCCCTATACTGTACCTCCGGTCAACTCACATAGCCATGGAAAACACCCATGTATAGATTCTTTACCCATTTTTACAGGGAAGATTCCCCACATGGTGATTTCCTGAAATGGTGGTATCCCCAAATCATCTATGTTAAAAACGCATTTTCCCTGAAATAAATCACCCAGCTATTGGGGTACCCCCATTGATGGAAACCCCCAGATGTCCAGCTGGCCTTAACTTCCCGGGAAAACGAAGAAACGATCGACTTAACAAGTCCAGGAATCATACAGCCACAGAGGACACCTGGTTAGGGCCGCGTGAAAAATGCGTTGACCAGCGATGAAAAAATCGATGTAGATATGTCTCCAAAATGGGAGGAAAAATGGATGGAGAATATTGACATCTGCACCAAAAAAACAAAAAACAAACAGGAGACGTGTTTTAGCGAAGCTTAAAGATATCCCTATGGAAATGTGGCAAAAGATCCACGGTTAACCCAGGGGACATTGGAATTCAAGAGATGGCGGAAGTCTTGAAAAATGGTTAGTCTTCAATTATCCTCCGGCAATCAAACGTGGTTTGCTGGAAAATCCGCTATTTCTGGATAATTTTCCCATTAAAACCTCCATTTAGTTCCGGTATTTCCCAGCTTGCCACGTTTCATGGCACCAGAGGCTAAGGAAAAAAAAATCACATTCGCATTTTTGCCAATTTTTCCCTCCAACCCAACAACACACAAGACTAATCAATAATTCGCAAGCATAAACCCTAGTGACTCCCGGAGATTTCACCCATATTCCCATTCAAAAACCCACTTCGGATCATCATCTTCCCATCCCCATGGCCCCATGGCCCCATGGCCCCATGGCCCCATGGCATCCAGCTGCCTACGGCGGAGCCAGCGGTCCCCATGAATTTCACCACGGACATCTGGCGCTGCTGATCCGACAGCCGCGGATGCGGTAGGCCCAACTTGGAGGCGGCGGCCTCTAAGGTGCCGCCGAAGATCACGCCTGGGCACCGGGGACCGGCGACGCGGCGACGCGTCCTTTAAAGACTTGGGATGTTCAGCTTCAAAAATGGAGTTTAGAAGATGAGAATCACTATAGGGCTATAACATGGGGTGTTTAAGTATCGACAATATTGGAAGATATTTGTCACTTGCGCTATAAAACAAGGGTGTAGCATGTTGAAACTATCAAAGCTATGGGAATAGAAGATTATCTTGATATAAGTCATGCATACCGGTAAATTGGCTTGAATATAGGATCACCGTACGACTCGTAAGTGATTAGTGTTGGCAAGGATATAACATGATATAACCCGATTATACATGGGATACCCAAACGAATTGGGAGACTTGCGGTTATTGACTGAGTTGGATACTCCTGTATGTAATCAAGCTTGGCAATTGAAAACCCATCATTTACAGATGATGCTCTGATTCAACCTCCATTCATAGGGGATTGTAAATTGCCACGTTTCAGCAAAAACATTATGATGTTATTCGCAAATGTGAGGTTTGGGGGGTTTGCTCAAAAGAAACCTTGGCATTGAACGGCGACATCAGGTGCCTGAGTCGGTGCCTGAGTCTCTATCTGCATCGGTATAGTTATAGTCGCCCCACCTTTAAAAAAAAACATGAAAAATCGCCGTTCTACCTGGTTGATTCCTTTTGGGGTTACCATAACAAAACTTTTTTTCCAAAGGATCATCTCGATGGAACCCTGAAAAAATGGGGCTCCTGGCTATGATGGGTGCCGACTTAGCACAGTTTAACACAAAAAACTAGTTGAATTCTATGAATGACCCTGGATTTTTTATGAAATGACCCTGGGTTGTTCCATTCCATAGGGCTTCAATCAAGGGGGATGTTTATGGTAGATCTGTTGAAAAAGGTAATGGGGTGAAACCAGCAAACATCACTTGGGGGGCACCACCTCGTATGGGGGACAGTAACCAAGCACGAAGCTGTAGGCTTGGATTGGGCCAGTTTCCGCACATGGAATTGGAGTGGGGAAATAGACGAACTACATCAAAGTGCGAATGACTTGCACTGGACCAATGGCGGTGAAGCACAGACAGGCCAGCACCAACTTGGCTGACAACGTGATTGAGCCACCAATACGAAAACAAAAACAACATATGCGCAGGTCAATCCAACAAAGCAGTTCCCTCGAAGCATGCTGCTGCCTGCTGCAATTTCCTTTAATTATCTTTAAATGTCAGGTTTTGGTCATATGCACCCCTCGCTCTCCCCCTATATATATATATATGTGTGTGTGTGTTATAAGCATACCATCCAGAAATATTTTAGTTCATTCGTTTATTTGTGGATGGTATGCTTTAAGGCTTATAAGCTATAACACACACACATACATATATATTTATAATATATATATATAGGAGGACAGCATACCATACTTTATTTCTATCCTCCATCGACCACCTCCCAACGCAGCGGCGCCTGTAAAGTCTGAGACCACCTGACCAGCAGCAGCTGATGCCATGGTACTCAGCCCCAACACGAGCCCCAGATGTTCGTCGATGAATTCTCCTGCGCAACGTTCAACGGCCACATCGAGGCTCCGAAGAAACAGCGGGGAACTGGTGTTTATAAACCAACAAACATTACTAGGGGGTCCCTGCCTGAATAGTTTATCCATATTTATCTAGAATTATCTAGATATATATTATAGAATATGGCTGTTCGGAATTCTGAGATGTTGTGACTAGAAATCACGAGTCTTGGAATGTCTTGACATAGTGTCATTTAGATCCATTTAGTGCCATTTACTGACTACTGGGATCATAATCACCAGCACTGCCACTAGCACCACACGATCATCATCATCACCATCACAATCTTCATCAACAACAACCTCTCCAAAAAAACATTTAAGTGACAGTAAATCATATTAGAAGATGTCACAGACCTCGTCATCATGACATGTTGGGAAGATTTCCCATAGCCATGGCTACCCACTTCCCACCTGCGTGAATCATGATGGTGTTGTCCTTGGCTGTTGAACAGAGGTGGTTACGCACACCACCGATTGCCGGGATTGTAAAACCCTCAGATACACGGAAATTGATGGAAAATGTCAACCCGAAAACCCCACCAGTTGTGAGTGCTCTGAGATAAATTCCAGCGCCATGTGACAGGGAATCATCCCCCTTAGTGACTTGTCAACAACTGTTGAGCTCAATTCGCATAATATAACCTGCTTATCCTGCTTGCACTATCCACCCACTTTCAATTTTGGATGGAAAAAACATTCAAAAAGGATGTGGGCATGCAGTTCTACCACCACACTTGGGAACAATAACCCGCCACTTGTAATCACCACCTTCAAGGAATCCAGGGGGAAAACCGTTCATGTCAAAGCCGTGAAATTTAGGCCGTCCAAGTAGCCAGTTCTCCATCAATGCCTATCATTCACTCACAAGTGCAATCTTGTATTGGTGTAATTAGCTACATGCTGGGTCATTCTTGGAGGAAATGATGGCGATTTGAAGCAGTCGGGCATGAATACACGAACCCCATGGCTATCTTATTTAATTATTTAGAATGTTCCTAGTCACCAACATGTGAAACCACCACAATATCTGCAGTAGGCCCTGGTTCTGCAAATGTCGCTTAAGCAACCTCAATATCAAGTTCTTGAACCCATTTTTTTGAGATTTTTGGAGCATTCACATGTATTCACTGAAGATCTTCACCGATTTTCCCAGGGATCCATCACCGTGCAGCCCAGCATCCATCATCCCAAAGCCGATCATCGGCACGGCGCAGGCCACGAAATGCCGACGGAGGTTCAGCCACGACGGCTGCGGACCCTGGGAGCTCTGGGAGCCCTGGGAGCCCTGGGAGCCCTGGGAGCCGCCATGCGGGCCATGCGAAGCCGAGCCCGGCGATTCAGTGGCCTAAGGTTTATAGCTGGGAAACTCCAAGAGAAATTTCCGGCCATGTTTGATTACCCGGAAAGGATTTCTAAGACAATCCTTGCTAAAGATGGTTTATCTTCAAGGATTCTTTTCTAATCGGAGGAGTGTTGGAGGGACTTGAAGGATACTCCAGGGGTATGTGCATATATATATATACAAATATTTTTTGTATATATGAATTGCGGACGAAATGACTTGCTCATATTCATGCCATACGCAAATTAGGGTCACCGATCGGTAGTCAAAAATCTGCGTTCACAGGCTTTATTGACGCGATTCAGGCAAGATAGGAATATCGGTATTTGGGCCGTCCCCTATTGGTAATGAAGGTCTTGCACATCTCTCAGCATGGCTAAGGCGAAGCAAGACTAAATTGACATTACGATAATTTTGTGGGTTACACACATACACAGAGAGAAATACATATATATATATATATATATGTATGGTATATATATATGTATGGTATATATATATATATGTGGGACCATATATATATATATACACTTATACGTCTATTTCTATTTGTATTTGTATGTGTATTTATATTTATAGTTATATTCTTATTTATGTTTATATTCACATTCATATTTATATTTATATAGTTACATTTATATTTACATTTATTTTCAAATTCATATTCATATTTATATTTATATATATAGTTACATTTATATTTACAATTGCATTTATATTTGCATTTATATATGCGCGTGTGTGTGTGTGTATGTGATATCCGGAAACGTTCCTCCCTTGTGACTGAACATGATCTCTTTCACCAAGCAGACATCCCAAGTCCGAAACCTCCAGAAACCATCAACTTATCAACCATCCCATGTTCCAACATGTTCCAACATCACAAAACGACCTTAATGACCTTAATCCCAACTTAAGGTGGTGAACATGTTGGAAGAAACACCTTAACTAATGTTCCAACCATCCACATGTTCCTAGGTTTCTTTTGGTGTTTCTTCTCGACCAAGTGGCGGCTCCACTGCTAAAGCGGCTCATGTGCAGCCTGGGAAACCTGGAAGATGTCGCCGGAAAATGCCGCGCGCCCATAGCTTTGATGGGTGCCCAGCGGCCCATTGCAGCGGGCGGCAGCTGGCGAAAAATTGGTTCAAAAATGGAGAAGTCACTGGGGATCGAAACATCTTCCCAAAGATGATAGAAAATTCGACATGGTAGTCTCTTGATCACTGCAGCATGGGGAAAAAAACGTATAAATTCTTCAAGAACTCATAAAAGACTTCGCAAAGGAACAGTTCATCCGGTGGAGATCATCACTGTTTTGGAGATGAGGCGGTTGTTTGTAGTTTTTGCTGAGGTTTTGTCTCAGTTCTCGATTGGTTTACCCTCCCGACTTGGTTGAAAACTCATATCTGAAACCACAAACCAAAGAAAAACGAAAAAACATGTGCACTGGCCAGGTTAGCAACACTGACCCTTCTCCCATCAAATCCTTCCAGGGAGACCCCTTAGGGCAAAAAGACCTTAGCAATGGTGGTTTGAACGGTTTGAATCCACAAAAAAGGATGCAGTTTCAGTACAAGTTTCGTCACTTCAGTGTGAAACAGCCAGGTTGTTTTGAGGCAAACCAGGAAGGCAATTCACCAGCATCATCTGTTTGGCTTTAGGTTTGGGTTTTTCATCACGAACCACTTTGATATGTGTTTATTAATGTGTATTAACCATATTCAACCATCGCGTACTTGGAGGTTACCGACCTGGGGAAGCAGTTAAGCTCGAATACCTTGGATCTGCTCGCTTCACACCGTCATCCATGCGGCCCTTGCCCGTTCTGATGGCACCCCCATCCCCCGAAGACAATTGCATAATGTGGGTAAAACAATAATAAACCAGCACATTTTTGATGGTTTATACTACCCATGTAGTATGGTGATTTTGGGATGGTTTATTATTGTTTTAACCTCATTAAGAGGTTTTGACCCATCCCCATGTAGGATTTCACGGTTGTTTCTTCAAATGGGGTGACCGCAGTGCTTCATCAAGATCCTTTTTGTCAATCGGGCGCTGGTAGACTTTCCCTTTCCCGTTGCTACTGAGACCCACGCGACATGGGGTATATATATATATGTATGTATATATGTATATATGCATATATGTATATATGCATATATGTATATATGTATATATGAATATATGTATATATGTATATATGTATATGTGTATATATGTATATATGTATATATGTATATATGTGTAAATATATATATATGTATATGTATATATGTATATATAAAGCATCCATGTACGTTTCATTATTTTTATATCACTATGTTTCTGCATATAGATATGGTATAATGTGTTCCCTCCTGGTGATGCTCACCACCATCCCTGGGTCGTGCCCCCGCCACCACGTCCTTATCAAAGACAGACTCCGCATAGCCTCGACATCGATCAAATAGGGAGCCTGGAAAAACAATGTTACTAATCAACCATATGAAGTTGGGGTATGGAAAATAACATTGTGATATATTGTGGTCCATATGGAAAATAACATGTGGAAAAGAACCCATCGACAATATATACGGTTAGCTTCCGGATCCGTCAACATATGGAAAACAAATGAAAATAACCTATCTATAGTTCGACGAGAGTTTACTTGTGAAACATGGCAATCTGCTATAGCTATGTTCCATTTTCCCACGGAACTAAAACTCTGTTTACCTATTTGGTGGTTCATATTCAATTCAATTCAATTCAATTCAACTCAATTCAACTCAATTCAGTTCAATTCAATTCAACTCAATTCAATTCCATTCCGTTTAATTCAATTCAACTCAATTCAATTCAGGTGTATTCATTTTGCATTGGAACATGTTTTAGATGAATTCACCTGTTCTGTCAGTTCTAAAAAAATTGCCACACCGGAGCACAGTTTCGGCCGCATCTCCTAACATCCACCGGGGCCCCACACATGACTCGCTTTGCTTCAACCCCTTGAAACCACATTCGTCGTAGATCCGACGCCTGCGAAGAAATTTTATGGACCACCTTTCGGAAAAAAAACGACAGAAACTTTAATGTTCGGACAACAAAAAGGTATTGGAGAAATATTGTCCACACCAAAGCGCGGTAACTTGACACCAAGGTTGGAACACAACAGCTCAACATGTTGGCACGCGTCATTTTAGGCCATCTCGAACCCTACCCATCCTCGGGCCGTTAGCAGTTGGCCATGAAAAATTGAAACCATCTTGAACTTCCGGGTGGAACCAAACGTAGAAAATGTGCTACTCGTCATGCGTAAGCATGAGTATGTTTCATCACTTGCAGTGGCCTACATGCGTGGGGGTTGCCAAAAAAATGTATTTAGCACATTTGCCTTGTGGTTGCCAATGCCCAGTCACCTGGGGATTCTCTCTCTTCAATTGTCGCTGCCCTCAAATTCCTTAGCATTCGACCGCTCAAAGTAGACAATGGCCTGCTTGCCTGTCAAGTGTGTTTCTTTGCATTTCGCTTTGTTTCTAAAATCGCATTGATCGCGAGGCACTTTCAGTAGCCCCTAACATGATCTAAGCACAAGTGCCTTTGAGAACCAAAAATATCTTTAGAATCAAACCACCATTACTAGGGAAAGAATGATTATAATTATTTAGTTCAAAGATTACGTGTTAAATGTATTAAACAATATTAAACATGATAGTTTCCCACAGCCATGTTCAATTACCAGAGGGCAATGGAAATAACCAAAAGACGCCAAAAGTATTTTAATTACCCTAAAACAAATAATACTTTCATATGCCAAAACTCCGCTGATGATTCACTGATGATGGTTAAATTCAATAATTTTCCCCAAACACAATTCCTTTCCGCTTGGCCTCTCCGGATCTGCCAGGACCAAATACGCCTGGCACTCACGTGATGTGCTTGACTAACTTATAGCAGCGGAAATATTTGTAAGATGGTAGTTCGATGATGTCCTCTCCATAATTTCCAAGTCTCCAAGTTTCCGATATGTTCCTATTAACCTTTGGGGGTTAGTATGACTATAAATCCGCGAGGCTCCAAAGCGCCCATAGACATCTTGCAGCCACACCCAGCGGCCGCACCAAAACATCTGGTGGATAAATCACTGAAGACTCAGCTAGTAACTTTTGACTATGCTGGAATCAAGCCAAGCGACGTGTTCGACTGTCACTAGCTTGGTGAAGGACAGTTCTGGGTGGTTCAATGTGTCGACTATGGACTGGTGCGAACGTGGTCTGGTGGTCAGTCCGGGCCTACGCGGTGCCTACGCGAAGTCTACGCGAAGCCTACGCCTGTTCCAGGGGTCCCCTGGCAGGAATCTGGTGAGACATTCCGCTTAAGCAAGAGCTAATATGGCCCATATAGCAGCAAGCAGGTGGCAAGCGAAGAACACAAAGACGGTTTCAGCTGCTCCGCTGCCATTGTATAGCTGCTCTGCCGGGCAAATTCCACGGTTTGCTCGTATAAACGACTATCCATGAATGAACCCGGTGCCTTTGAACCTTTTGTGGATAACATGCGATCAATTTTAAAGCGTGAGATTGCAACGTCGATCATGTACGAGCACTTGAAATACAATAAAGTTGTCGCCTACGCAAACAGGAAATATTTGAAGCCTTGAAAAATGCCTACGCCAATTCTACGCAATCCTTACGCCAGCCATGCAAAAAAAAAACACCGAAAGCAACATCCAGTTTAAACCGTGTAATTTAATAACCCCTTCATGTTTAAAAAAAAAAAGTAGCTCATTTGCAGGCCCAAATCCGACAATCAGCAGCCACTGCCGGCGTCATCAACCAGCCACATGGGAGGCCTCCGAAATCGCCCAAAAACGCCGCAACGCCGCGCGGCGGCCACCATGGGTCATGGGGTCGTCAGCTGTGTCACCTGCATGGCCAAAATATGGTGTTACCATGAAAACTGGAAATTTCACCTGAAATTTTGGAACCTTACCGTGAACAATGGTGACTTTATTTTCAAAATACGATTCGACGATCGTCTTCTGATGCTCCATCGCATATAACATGGCATACGTACCCCCCCCCAAAAAAAAGTGGAAATTCACACTTGCCAGGGTCCTGTCGCGACTCCTCGACTTCATCCCGCCTTCCAAATGCCAAGTGCCATTGTAGGGGTGCCACCGCTGCACCAGTTTGTGGTACCTGTCACATGAAGGATGTGGACATTTCTTGACACTTTACGTCACGTTCAACTCTCCGAAGTGCAATAATTCTATTCCACTCCTCTTGTTGCATGTTACAGAGCCCTTTCCAACAGCAACACAAAATGGAACACCGGAAAACCAAGATCCGGCTAGAAAATATTTGGCAACAAGGGAGGAAGGGGTCAACAGCAACCTCAGATCTGGATCAAACACTTGAATTGTTTAAATCAAGGGCCGTCCCGCCATCCGAAATACTGATGGCACCATGGACATGCAATACAACATACAATTATCGGGGCTGGTATTTGGGGATGACTGTTGGGTCATGGTTTTGTAGCTGTAAAGTGGTGCTGCCCAGCCCCAAACACTACATTATCCATGCGCAGGCCCACAAAAAAATCACTACAAAAGTGCGGCCCAGCCTGGATAAAGGGTTGCTGAAAAAAACGAAGGGATTTGAGAAGAGGCCCTTCAAGATCCTCTAAAAAAACAATTAGATGATCCCACTGATCGAATTGGACTGCCTCCTTTTATTTGCGTTTGCATTTTGTAGTGATCCTCATCGTGATACAGTGGAAGTCACAGACCCACAGACCTACAAAATTCAAACTTTTTTCAAGGTGGTGCATATGTGTTGTGCATGTTTTTCTCAGTTGCTGGGCCGAAGTAGACGTGGCAGCACAAATTCAGCAGTGATTTCACCCCAGCACTGCGAAAATGCCTTTTCTACAAACTGCAACGGCCCGCTACGATTTAAATTGAAAAATAATTGAAAACTACCCTGGGGAAATATGAGTATTGAACGTGGAACCCCACAAATTCATTGCAAATTACTTTTAAGGCAAATACTTTGGGTCGACTATGATCTCGCGTACCTAACCACTACAAAGTACTATCACCCAGCCCATGTTTGAATCTGAAAACATATATGATCTAGGGTTACTACAAAGTGCAAAGGCACATGGTCCTTAAGGCACTGTAAAAACTGTTGAAAATATATTTTACAAAGGAACCAAGTCCACTAGTTTTATAGTTGAAATTCCAACCAGGATATACAACTCACGTCGCCAACTTAAGCGTGGTTCAATGTGGTCCAATGTGGTTCAATAACGATAACTATTGACGTCATGGATAAAAACATTTGCTTCACGATTGCAATATAAGGTCATATGTAATAACCACTGCTCTGAAATACAAATCGTACAATTAGAAACACATATCATATTCCAGTAATAACAATTGTTTGGACAACCATTTAACATCATGTAGGAGGAAATAAAAACTGATTATAAATAAAGGCTCGTACATGTTCATACAAGGTGGCCGGCGCCCAATATTTCCCTTTATCCATACATACCCCAATACATCCCAATTATGAACTAACTTAGCGAAGTATGACGCACTACCTTAAAACATATCATATTGATGAAAAATATTTCGGTCACCGGTTCATCCGAAAACACTATTTTTTCTTGTTAATTGTTTGTTACTGGTACCCCCCCAGGTTCACAGCAACCCCACGAATTCACCAAATTCGCTAAACCAACGTGGCCAAGTTACGCTGCACGCACACGGCTACTGGAGACGCTGGGTGCTTTTCCCAGCTCCAGCCTCGGCAGTTAGGGACCCTGGGAGGTGGTGCGGAAATGGCCAAGCTAAGCTGGCGCAATTAGGAGCACTCCACGGTTTGCAATGGCATCCCCCTTGAAAGCCCAGTGGTACCCAAAAAAACATGTTGATTTTAGAGTCCTTAACAGTGACGCCCCAAACTATTTTGAACTTAGGCCTCGACAGGCTCAGACGCCCCAACCGAAACATGAACCCGTGTGCAACGTGAAATCCCAGGTGTATCATATTCGCTGGTGTATTTTCCAATTTTGTTCTACTTTCCAGTTTTGCTCTACTATTTCAATTTTTGATTTAATTTGGGAGGTGTGCTTTTTATGATTTTATAGTGGTGATTTTTCTAGGGGTTAGGGGGTTGATGTCGCTCCGAATATCTTTTTTTTTTAGTCTGTGGAAACTAAGTTGCCAAAACTAAATTTAAAAAATGCAACAGTAAAAAAAATGAACAATTGATCCTTTTCTTTAAGGAAGGATCAGTGCAACCATGCACAGCACCTGTTTGTATTGCATCCATGGTGGCTGTTCAGATACACGGCATGTGTCTTTGGACATAGGATCCGCTGATGATTCAATTCAAAGTATTTGTGAGCGGCCATTGTTCTCGACGACCATAGATCAATGCCCCAAGCCAGCGTCACATGGGAACCGTCTCTCCAATTTGCATGGGTTTGCAAGTTTTGCCATCAAATAAGGCTAGTGGAACCACTGTTCATGTGCAGTAAACCTGGGCAAAAACTTGTGGAGGCGGTTTTTTCTGCTGTCGCTCTGTGATGGCGCGTTCTTGTTTCAGGCGTTGTGCATTGGATTGATCCAAACTGGATCCATATAATATCAGGCCCCACAGGGAATCATCTGAGATAGCCTTCCAAAAAATCAGACCCCCCAAGGAATCATCCGAAATGAAACTCTTATTTATGCAGTGACCTTCGTGGCCCCCCATGGCATGAACATGTCGGCCCCACGAGGTGAAGGTAGCAACTGCCCGACACCATGCGTCTAGCCCTCCCAACCATTGAGGGCTCCCAGCACGGCGTAGTAGTCCCGATCGTTTTCGGCATCCCATGTTTCATCATCTTCCGCCTTACGTGGACAGGACGACACCAAATTCAGCCAGGAGCAATGGAAAATGATCACCCCAGCCGGTGCGTCTGCGCAAGGCTCCCAATGTCATGGAACGAAATGATGGGAAATGCGTTGATGTGAAATGTTTCCCGAATGACATATCATTGCCAAATCATTGCCGCCCGTTGCCGGGGGCAAACCCCCGGTATAACACAAACAAAATTTTAAAAAGCATGGCAATGTGAACCTGAATGCTGGCGCGGCGGTTTGCACCAAGTTGTTTTCATGTCATTATTTTTTTGCCCATCGACCAGCCCGCAAACAACAATTTTGGTCCCGAACTGTCCACTCCACTTCTTCGTCGTGTCCTTCGGAATTTGGCAGCATTTTTTCGCAAATTTCCTGCCATTCAAGCCAAACTGCGGGACATCTTTGCCCATGATACCCCACAAATCCAACCGCAAAAGTCCGCGAAAGTTCATGAAAACGTCCCTGTATATCCCGCGGAGGGCCTGCACCCACCAAATCTCACCAATTATTGACATCGACATCTAAGGCCACATTTGCAAGTAAAGATTTTATTTAGATGGGGGTTGCATTCGCTCCGTCGGCGCATCGGCGGGAGGAAACATCGCCTTCATCGCATACCATCAATTCAGCACGCGCTATTTTGCACGGCTCCTGTTCAACCCCTGGTTCCGCTTCTGAAGTTTCACTTTCTTCCTGGCCCGCGACTGTTCCACAGCAAGGACGCAGACACCATGGATGTAAATTCAAGGAAAACCCATGAAACATTTAGCGTTAACAATTGAAACATGTGTAAAGCAACCAATTGTACATTGTAAATGGTGGCAAACATTGCAAAACGGATCAAAACGGTGTAATGAGAATAGGGTGGAATGTTAATACGGGAAAGTTCGGTCAAGTCGTCAAAAATCAACCCTGATCATCGTCGAGCCTCGGCCACTTCCGCGCTTTCCATGGCTAGTGGCAAGGTGACTTCGCAAACTTGATTTTTTCCGTGAAAATTGACCCTTCCGTGCACACTGGAACGAACACTTCAACATGTGAACATTTTGCACGTCACTGTGGATTCATAATTGCAAATGTTGGATTTAGGCAACAACACATCATATCCACCATATATTCACCACTATTTTGCACTTGCGGGACATGTTTCGCAATGATTTGCTTCTCGGCCTTGTTGAAAATTACAAAGCCCCAGGTGGGTTCTTCACCAAATTCCATCCATAAAATTCGATCACGGTGTTCAAGATCATTGGGATTGTGTGGACGTCCGCTGCCTTAAAAAATACGCAAGATCAAACGAAAACACATCCAAACATCTCCGCTAGCTAGGCTGCCCCAACTCGCAACATTGCGACAAATAGAATTGCATTGCGTGCCTGCTTTAAAGTAAAATGACACATGCACATGCATGTATACGTGCAGGTGTTGTTCAAAAAATGAAAAGGACACCTGATAAAAACTGATCAAGACCGGCAAAGACTCGAACCCCTTTGTGTAACATGTCGGGAAAGGGGAACAAAATATCGATACGTCATCCCCCTTGAAATTCGCCCCGAGAGGATGGGCGCACCAAAGTGTAGGGTGCCCAGCCTACCCCCCTACAAAATGGTATGGGAACACCTACAAAATGGTAGCACCCATGGGGGTTGTTGCCTACAAAATGGTGGCCCCAGGGTACCCCACCTGCCCACCAACATCAAGTATTTTGGGTTAACATAGTGTCCAAAAAATTGTGAAAAATGGGAGAACCATTTTGTAAGACACAAAGCAACCCTGTGGTCGCACCCTGGTCGTGTTTGGGCGACCAATTTGTAGACAGTTTACTCTGAATGAAATGTCTTCTTAAAATCTCTCAAGCAATCCTTGCATATCTCAAATTTTTGCATCTTGTGCATCTGGCAATCGGGTTTCATAAAGTATCGTCCAACAGAAGTAGTCAGATAGACTGGACCGAAGTAGTGGTCATCGCTTTTTTTCCTGGACCGGGGCTGGTTTCAAAATTTTGGAGGCTTTGAAAACTTTGCGATCATCTCCACCACAAAATCCACATGGTCGGTTAATATTTTTTGTGTTCAAATATGTTTACATTTGTGGATGTATTTATCAACTCCCCTTACGCATCTACAAAATGGTATTCCAAATCTTCTACAAAATGGAGGTGCCTGACACTGGCATGTGATATTGTTCTCATATAAAGTGATGTTGGGTGTGTATAAACAGGTCTCTTTAAATGGAGTGCCCCGACGGCAAAAAAAAAAACATAAAATCTGATTTAGAGGGGGCCCAGGGCCTACCAGGCCTACCATTTTAAATGGGATAGGCCTACCAAAGTGTAGGGTGCCCAGCCTACCCCCCTACAAAATGGTATGGGGACACCTACAAAATGGTAGCACCCATGGGGGTTGCTGCCTACAAAATGGTGGCACCAGGGTACTCCACCTGCCCACCAACATCAAATATTTTGGGTTAACATAGTCTACATAGTGTCCAAAAAACTGTGAAAAATGGGAGAACCATTTTGTAAGACACAAAGCAACCCTGTGGTCGCACCCTGGTCTAACCGCTTTTGGTTGGCTCAGCAGTGCCGGCCGCTTCCCCCAAGCCCTCGAACTAGCTGATTGTCAGTGGCCATGCCGCGCTTTCACATGGCGTTCCTGCTGATCGTGGGATTGGTTGGGGAAGGCATCAAGGTGGCTGACGACACAGCCACACAGACGCCAGAGGAATGGCATCTTGTCTTCGAACGTGACTGATTGGGACAGTTGCCAGGAATAGGACAACTCCAAGAATTGGTCTAGCACGTGGTACCGCTTCTGCACCCGGCAAGACAACCAGGACATCCAATCCAGAAGCGTCTCTTTGTGTTGTTCTGGTTTGAACCACCTTAGTAAAAGAACATTAGGTAACCCATTGCAAACTCTGGCCAGCTAGCCCATACCAGTCTACAAAATGGATGGTCCCTAATTATTCATAGACTACATGGTCTAACTATTTCTGTATCCCACCATTTCGTAGCTGCCAATGGAAATGCCCTACCATTTTGTAGCTCCAAATGGAATTGGTAAAAACAAACACGTTTCCTTGTTTTTTTTTAAACTGCGCCCAATTCTTGAAGTGTCTTTCTTGGAGTTGTCCTATTCCTGGCAACTGTCCCAATCAGTCACGTTCGAAGACAAGATGCCATTCCTCTGGCGTCTGTGTGGCTGTGTCGTCAGCCACCTTGACGCCTTCCCCAACCAATCCCACGATCAGCAGGAACGCCATGTGAAAGCGCAGCATGGCCACTGACAACCAGCTAGTTCGAGGGCTTGGGGGAAGCGGCCGGCACTGCTCAGCCAACCAAAAGCGGTTGATATTTTTTTGTGTTCAAATATATTTACATTTGTGGATGTATTTATCAACTCCCCTTACCCATCTACAAAATGGTATTCCAAATCTTCTACAAAATGGAGGTGCCTGACACTGGCATATGATCTTGTTCTCATATAAAGTGATGTTGGGTGTGTATAAACAGGTCTCTTTCTACAAAATGGAGTGCCCGGACGGCAAAAAAAAAACATAAAATCTGATTTATAGGGGGTACAAGGCCTACCATTTTAAATGGGAAATGTCAACGGGGATGATACGTCCAAGGGCGTCCTCATCAGGATCCATCGATATGACGGCCAACTGATGAATGTCTCAGGTGGCGCTGGTCTTTTCGAGCCTGGAAAGAAGGGAATTTCATGAAGATGACGATGATGTGATGTAACTGTTGGTCACCCGGGACGCGAAGAGGGGAATGCCAAAAAAAAACAACGCCACACGGGCAATTCTGAAATTGAAAAAAGCATGACAACAAAAATTACCCGTAACAAAAATATTGCCATAGCTGTTTGTTATGGTTCCGGCATGTTCTGGCATATATTCTGGCATTTTTTCCGACACATTTTTCTGGCGGTGTTTTACTTTTTTTTGATTTCATCCCGCATCTATTCCATTTTTTTCCAAGTATTTTCTCCCGCATATATTCCAACATTTGCCAAGCATCCGGGATCACGAACGTTTTCCAGATTTCGTTTCTGAACTCAATGATGCTTCTTTTGACGCACTCTTCGTCACAGAAACTTGGCGAGGAGAACGACAAGAACTTTTTCTAACAACGCATGGGCACGCACTTTTCTTAAGTGGCGGTGAGGGATGTCGTGGTGTTGGCATTGTTTTGTCTGTTGGTTTCTTTCGAGAATTGCTACAGGTGAGTTTTCATGCTTATTCACCTCAAAGTTGCGCACTACATGTTCATTTTGGTGGTAGAAAAATTGAAGATTGTTCCTGGTATTTTTCGACAACTTGGGATACAGACGATGCAGTGGATGAAACTTATGAGTTTTTGAATCTTCTACTTGATGCTTGCGTGCGGGATGGCGTTATTCCAATCCTTGCTGGTGATTTTAATGCTTGTGTTGGATCACCATGCTTGTTCGGTGTGGGGCAGGCCAAAGGAATGCACGTGGTGACATGTTGGCGACTTGGGTTGTGCAACATGGATTTCAAATAATGAACCGGATGGATGGACAAGAACTTGCTGAGGAGAATTGGACATGCATTCGAACAATGGACGGCGCACATGTACAAATAGATTTCATTTTGACGGACATGCGGTTACACCATGTAAGTTCCTGGAATGACTTTGCAATTGGTATTGGCTTGGATCATCGTTGCGTGCATTGTATTTTTGAGATCCCTGGTGCGAAACCAAAACAACGCAAACGAAAACGTACATTGAAACGCTGGAGACCATTTTTGGATGAAGAACAACAACCGAGTGACTTTCAAATTTGTTTGCTGGACTTTGTATGCAACAAACCGGAGATAACCTTTGCAGATTTGGAACATTTGTGTTTATGGCTGGATTTCACTATGGGGCCTGCAGTGCAAATTTGGACAAATTCAAACCTTCCTTGCGACTAACAAGTTTGTCGGCGACGGAGTCAAGACACACAAACTCGTAAACAATTGACATTTACAATCCAGAAACTGCAAAAACAGGAAACTGGAACATGGAAGTCGTTGAGAACTGTTCAGTCTATTGTTTCACCATACCATTGACGTTTCCTTCGCGATTTAACCCGGAAATCATTTGGCCGGACAATCGTGGAGCATCCATCTGCACATGAATTTGCGATTTACTTGTCCGAGATATTTTCTGGCAACACTGTGCAAATCAATCGTCCAAACGATTTGACGGAACCTATGGACTTTAGGTGAGGTACCTTCGCGGTAGGTAAACTGAAGTCGAACAAGGCTGCAGATGCTTGTGGTTTGGTGGCCGAACTGTTGAAGCATGCGCCGCCCGAGTTTTTGATGGTGATGGTGGATCTGTTCAACCACGTTTTGTTCCATGGTGATGCTCCCGTGACATGGCGCAAAACATTTTTCCAAAGGTTTCCGAAAAAAAAACATAGGGCTATCTTAACAACTGTTTTCAGGCCGATTGCCAATATCCGTTTGCTCTACAATACTTTTGCGCACATGATTTTGCATCGCATCGAAGCATCTTTGGACATGGAATAACCACAAGAAAAAAATGGTTTTCGGGCAAGACGGCGGATGGAAGAACATGTGTTCACTACAAATTTGATTTTGGATAAAAGCCAAAAAAAATTGCCAATATGGATTGTTAGCCTTGATTTGTCAAAAGCATTTGATCGGGTAATTGGCCAGCATCATGGCGAGCACTTCGCAGACAAGGAGTCTCACATCATTTGGTTTAATTTTTGGGAGCACTTTATGCAGATCAACGGGCCAAGTGATGGGACAATCCAATGATGTTAGCGATGACTTTGAAATTAATGCAGGTGTGCGTCAAGGATGTGTTCTTAGTCCACGCCTTTTCTGCGCAGCACTCCAGGAAGCAATGCGAAGTCGGCGCGATGCAGAAGAGAGGAATGGTCTGAATTTGCAGGGTGGTTT